AAATTTAGCGATAGACCTTTTCCGATAGATATAATTGTATGTCCATTAGTCCATATTTTCTCAACATTGTGTGAAAAAAAAAAAGAAAAAAAAAAAAAAAAGGGGAAAGAAAGGTAGGCAATATTCATCATTCTTTAACCTTTTTTGCATTATCAATATCTCCAGGAGAATTCCTCTTTCGTCTTTGGCGTTTGGATGTACAGACTAAAGTGTTTTTACCTTCCGTCAGCATAGGAGTGTCCGCAGGGTCACCTGTGTTGTCGGCGATTGTCTGTGTTGCTCCATTTTCACCGGCTGGATGCGATGGCTCCTCTCGAGCCTGTAGACTTCCTGTAAGTGTAGAAATGCTATGAGTCACTCCAGTCTCTCCATCTGAGCTTGTAGGCTCTTCTGGGGTTTGTAGACCTCCTTCAGGGGTTGAGTCGATCCGAGTCTCGCCAGCATCTACAGCTGACAGCGCCGGAAACTCCGATGCTTGCCGTTTCTCCACAGACGGAAAACTGGGCGGAGATACTCCGCTGCTTCCAGCAGGTACTTCCGGCGTTTTCCGTCTCCCTTCCGGAATCAGAGATTCGGCACTGCTCTCAGAGTCCTCGCTGTCGCTGGTATCGGTGCTGCTTGAATCGCTCTCAGATGTCGAGTCGTCCTCACTTGTTTGTGGTTTATTTTCTTCCCGGTTATTTTCATCTTTATCCTTTGTTTTGGTCTCCGTGTTCTGTGCACTTTGTGTTGTCTGGTCAATGTCTTTTTGGTTTTTCGGCATTCTTAATTTATAGCTGTAAGAACTTGGACACTGGAAATATATATGCCCTGTTTCCTTACATAAATTACATACTTGAGTGTTTGTACAACTCTTTCCCTTGTGGCCAAAGCTTCCACATTTCCAGCACTTTGTTTTCTCACAGTCCTTTGCCTGATGGTCAGAATCATTACATATGAAACATCTCTTTGTTTGGCCGGGATATGTAATTGTTCCATTGTATGGACCCATGGAAATGGAGTTTGGAATCTGGAATATACTTCCGTCGTGGTTTTTCTTAAGTTTTATCTTGTATCTCCTGACTCCATACCATATCCCGAACTGGTCCAGCGGCTTGTCGACGGGGTTCAATATCTCACCAAACCTTAAGAGGTATTGTTCTACGTCTGAGTCAGCAATTCTCCCAGTCCAAAACTTAACTACGATACTCTTTACGTCTTGTGGAGATGATGTAGTCATCTCCCAGTGTTTCCAGAATTCACTTCCTGGATTATTGTTGAAAATTTGAGAAAATGTTTGAAGTGCCTGTTCTTTGGTAAAACATATCTCATACTCTTTTCTATTAGGCATTGCAATAAAAGAGTAGACATCTGTAGTCGTTATCCATTGACTACTTAAAAGGTTTATACCAACTTCAGACCTGTCCGGGGCTTCTCCTTCTCCGTTGTAGCGAGGTCGACCCAACGCCTCTCCCGCCGACGGGCGAGGAGGCCTCCGGGGTGACATACCGGACCCCGGTGTGGCGATAATTATCACCTCGTTAAAGGTGTTTCTGTTGTTGGTGTTAAAGTCTTTAGTTTAAAGTTAGTAGCAAAAGGACCACTTGCTAAGGAGAGTATTAAATACCACCCTTGCCTCTTCCAGACATAATGCTGCTCTCAAGTCAAATCGCTCAATAAAAATCTTCGCACTGCGCACCTATATATATATCCACACTCGACAGGACCTAGTTGAGAACAGGCGTGGAGGCGGGCTAACGCCAACGGTCACACAGTAGGTCACGGCACGGCGCTCTCTTCTCTCTCTCTTTTTTTTTTTTATATATATATATATATATATATAAATATATTATAGTATTATCAGTACTAATGTTTTGGTTCCATTAGTAGCAGTATTTGAAGTACAATACAATAGTAAGGAACTTTGGGTAAAGCATACATATTAAAGCATACAGCCAAAAACCCTCATCAGTGTAAGGAGGTTAAAAAAAGCCGTCTGTGTTTGTACAACACTGACATTACTGTTTCAAACACAAGACGTTCCTTTTGAGCACGTCCTTAGGCTAGAGTAACTACTACAGTCCTACGTCCACTGCATCTACGTACTTCGCAGCACACATCCTTTATTAGTAGGCCCAGCATTCAGCGGATCAGCACCAATGTCTGTGTTCACTTTGAAGCAGCCCACATTCTACCACACAAGTACTTCACTAACTTACAAGCACCACAGAAAGGAATGCAAACACAACTCTCAGGCCTTGCTTTATCAGCTCTCACAAATGCACAATATAATTTACTCCCTCTTTCTTACCAGTTCAACTCTAACTTCATCACCACCCCAAGAAAGCACTGCTGGTTAGTTTTGTTTACTTTCAGTATCTCAAATTCAAATTCTACAGTTCTTTCTCTATTGTGGTGAGTTCATAATGAAACTTCCAGATTTGTTCATGAGCACCAGCGTTCATGTTCATTCTCATCATTGTGCCTTTGTAACTTCACATCACTATCTAAAAATATATATATTTTTTTAATTCCAGATTTTCAATGTTTTTGTGTGTGTGTGTGTGCGTGTGTTTGTGTGTGTGGGTGTGCGTGTGTGTGTTTCTGTATTCTACTATACTGTATTCTTACCTTGCTGATGGGTCAGAATAGCGTTGTGGTTAAAAATATACATAAAATAAACACGAGGGAGACCTAATATCAGTAATATGTAAGTTTATTGAAAATCAGCAGTGAGATGCACGATCTGATCGAGAGTGCTCAGATCCAAATCCAGCCCTTCCAATAAAGGAAAGAAGGAAAATGACGGGCACCTAGACACAAAGAAGCGGTATTTGGCGGATATATATATATTGATGAACAGAATTCGCATTTTTGGATCAACACACTAGGATTTATTAGTCACAGAGAAATATAAGATATAAGAGATTTAATGAAACACACACACACACACACACACACAGATAAGGTCAGGCATACAGACATAGATAACACACACTCTCTCTGTCTCTCCCTCTCTCGCACACACATAACATTATAACTTTATAAGAATAATAAAATGGAGTATTAAATATCATAAGGATAATATCTTAATAAGTACAGTAAACCACTTGCAAGTAGTATAACCATATATAAAATAGAAATATAGAGCAGATATGAAAATAAATTATAAACCAGAAATACAGAAAAATGTAAAAGAAACTTACTCATAGATGGTGAGGATTCTTGTCTCAAGAGGAAGGGTCAGGCGTGGTGTAGACAAGGGCCTTGAATTTTTAGGAGAGAACCGTCCGAGAGAACCGACCGTGAGGAAGCCATTTATAAGAATGGTTGAATTACATGGCACCTGTACAGTGAGATCAAGGTCGTCGCTCTGAATTGTTTTGTCTATCTCAAGTTTTGAATCCTAATGGTATTATTTTTCTCAGACTTCCGTTACCTCATGGGGAATTTTTCTCAAACATTCTTTTACCTAACTGTAACATACCTAATAAGAACATTTTTGATATATATATATATATATATATATATAAATCTATAAAATATAGTCTTTTTAAATTTGCAAGTGATATTAAATCAATCATAGTGTACTGTAAAACGAGATATTTTTTAAATACTTGAAATCAGAGTTTCAATAAAAAGAAAAAGCATGGGCCTCTGTGAATTCTCCATTTTCTGCTTAACAAGAAAGATACCAACTTTAGACAATTTACAAGAGCACTGAAGGATAAAAAAAAATAGCCAATTGAGGAAGCAATGTACCATTCACCACTTAATAATCAGACTTTAACTGTGCACATCAAAGTATATGAAGTGCATCATATAACATATATATAATTCATTGTGCCAAAATAAAGGCACAGTTTAGAGAGATTTCTTACCTTCTTCGACATTGATCAGAAAGTCATCTCTTTGACCCTTTAAACTCTGAGCTGTCCACTTGGTGTATCACTAAATTATTACTTAGTTTATTTAAAAGTAAAATGCACTGTTTTCTTCAAATGCAAATAAGTTTGACTCAAATGACAGTCTATAACAAAGTTTTTAAAAAAATGAATCAAAAAGCTTCCATTTACATTTTATACATACATAAATATATACATATAAAATACAGGTATGGCTTTTATCCAGCGAGATAATTGATTTATGAATCAATCAATGTCTGATTCATAAAAACTGTTGTACAAATGTGTGACGCAAAAGCAAAAATGTCAGGCTAAAACTGATGTGATGGATCATTCAGCATTCCCTTTAGTCATCTGATGATGCATTTATTATAGATTCTCCTTCAAACATTGTTTAATTGACTTTCAGAGTTAAGAGGTTTTCATTTTCACCAGAGACACAGAATCATTAATGTGACAAAACATTAATAACTTCTCCATTTGAACTTTTAAAATGTGCAGATTCATTGTATTTTAATATGAAACTGTTCTCAAAAAAAAAAAAATATTAGACACCAGGATAATATTCATTAATAATAGCACATAATATTCATGTGCTAATTATATTCATTAGCATTGAATTTATTAAAACACTGTGCTATTCTATCACACACATTTGAATCATGTTAATTTAAATACTATAGTTATAGTACCTGTCAGTGCCAACATCCCCACAAGATTTCATAATGTAATGGGTTTACATTAATACTACATGAATTGATCACGCTCACTTTATATAATTCAATCTTGTAATTATAAACTTGTGTAAACTAAGGTTAGCATAAGCAGTGAAATCATGTTTTGATGAGAACTGTAATATTTATTTGTAAACTATAAATAATATTTTTTCTCAAGTCTAGTCTACCACATGTTCCATGTTTTGTTGAAGCATTGTAATTGTAATCGACATTGGTTATGAGTAAGGAAAAAATTACTATATATATTATTATTATTATTATTATTATTATTATTTTTTTTTTTTTTTTTTTTTTTTTTATTTTATTATTATATTATTATTATAATTATTATTTGTTTTTTTTGTTTTTTTTTTTAGATATTTTAACTGGGGCACCCAGTGGCACAGTGGCTTAGTGGTTAGCACGTTCGCCTCACAGGTCTGGGGTTCGATTCCCGCCGGGGCCATGTGTGTGCGGAGTTTGCATGTTCTCCCCGTGCTGCGGGGGTTTCCTCCGAGTACTCCGGATTCCTCCCCCAGTCCAAAGACATGCATGGTAGGTTGATTGGTAGGTTGGTAAATTGTCCGTAGTGTATGAATGGGTGTGTGAGTGTGTATGTGATTGTGCCCTGCGATGGACTGGAACCCTGTCCAGGGTGTACCCCACCTTGTGCCTGATGCTTCCTGGGATAGACTCCAGGTTCCCCGTGACCCTGAAGAAGGAATAAGCGGTTGAAGATGGATGGATATTTTAACTGTTGAAGCATATGTAATCAAATGGTAATTTCAAATGTGATTTAAATGATTATCACACTATATAAAGTGCATTTTGGCCTACTTAATGAGTTCTTTTAGGAAAAATAGTATTTTGAATACATTTTGCATTAGGCTACTCAAAGCACCTGATCTACTGATCTCATTTGCTTCTGCAGGATGTGTTTGAAAATTAACTTAACTAATTCTTGTGGCAGCTGCGCAATGCATAAAATCATGCAGACACAGGAGAGTATTTCAGTAAGCTTCAGTCAATATTCCAACCAAACATCAGAATCTCAGTGATCTCAGTGATGATGGTATGAATGTTGGTGCCAGACAAGCTGGTTTGAGAATTTTAGAGGCTGATCTGGGATTTTCACAGACAGCAATCTCTTGAGTTTACACAGAATGATGGAGAAAAACAAACACCTTGTTGATGAGAGAAGTCAGAGAAAAAGCCCAGACTGGTTCGAGCTGACAGAAAGGCTATGGTAATGATAATTCTTTACAAGTGAGTAAGCAGAAAAGCATTTTGCAACATACAATATGTAAAACAAATGAGGTGGATAAGCTACAACCATATTAGGTTCCACTCCTGTCTGTGAGCCAAGAACTGGAATCTGAGGCTAGAGTGGGCGTGGACTCACTGGAACTGGACAGTTGAAGAATGGAAAAACATTGCCTGATTTGATGAATCTTGATTTCTGTTGGGACATATAGATGATAGGGTCAGACATTGTCATCAGCAGCATGAACCTGCCTTGTGTCAACAGTCCATACTGCTGCTGGTGGTATAATGTTCTGTGGAACTATAGAACCCTCTGTGTGTTGTGTGTGTGTTTTTGTGTGTGTTTGTGTGTGTGTGTGTGTGGATGGGGTGGAGGTCGGAGGGTGGGGGGTGTCTGTCTGTTTGTTTCCCTCCTTCCTTCATCGACTACACCCACCTTGCCACGGGGTTTTTTTTTTAAATTTTTTTTTTTGGAAAAAAAAAAAAAGAAAGTGGTAAAAAAATTTTAAAAAAAAATGCCTACCATCAGAAGTCAGTGACTGGACAAAAGTCCATTAGTCAGTGAAGCGCTAACAAATTCTGAGAATTTAACCAGGGTAAATCCTACACTTTATATCCGTGCACATCAACACTTCTGCATTCCCTCAGAATGCATACCTGATCTCTAAAAACACTTTTAGAAAATTCCTTTTGGCTTCATCACCACCCACCATTTTTTTGGGGTTGGCACATTTGAATGAGTTAAGTAACACATTATGTTTTGTAAAATATGTGATATATTTCAGATAATATGTTTCATAGTCTAGACCTGGGCTTCCAGAAAAGTACTGTAAACACATAACGTAACACATAACCCAGTACGATGAAATTCTTTGCTTAGAATTGTAGGTTGCAGAGTATAAATGATTAAACTTTGGGTTGTTAAGCTTCCTATGATTTTGTTTAGAAAATTCAGTTCCATATAGTAGACAAACATCTGCTTCTGTTTGAATCAATTCACCTAATATTTTATTTTTTTCTGTATGTGATCCAGACTGAGATAGATTCTAAAAAGATTTTATACAAGTGTAAATCTCTCCAAGCCACACTGAATAATCAAATCCCTTCCTTATACTTTCCACCATAACAGCATTCAAAAGCACTAGAGCTGGAAAGAACAACACAAAGATACTAACCAAGTGATATGATTATCACTCTTTAGCCCTTGTTTAGTTTGTCTATGTGTTTGTCTCTGTTTCTTTGTTTCTTCGTAAAATCTTATAGTGTGTTTCTAGCATCCAAGCCTTGTTTTCTCCAACCCCAATTCTAAAAATCTCATAAACCCATATTTATTCACAAAAGAACACAGAAAACATCAATTGTTTTATCTGAGGAAATGTATATTTTTTAGGGAAACATAAGGTAATACTGAATATGATGGCAGCAACACGTCTAAAAAAAAAAAGTTGGGACAGCAGATGTTTACCACTGTGTAGTATCCCCTCTTGTTTTAACAACAGTGTGTATAAGTCTGGGAACTGAGCAGACCAGTTGCTGGAGTTTTGGGAGAGGAAGGTTGTCTCATTTGTGTCTGATGCAGAATCCTAGCTGCTCAACAGTCCTCGGTCGTCTTTTTTCATTTCATGAAGCACCAAATGTTTTCAATTGGTGAAAGGTCTGGACTGCAGGCATTGTGTATCATACAGTATTTAAAATAATTATTTTAAAATAGGACACCAATTTAATAAAAAAAAAAACAATCAATCAAATATGATTTATTTTGACCCACTTTATGCATGTGTGTAGGTTTTTTGGTTCATGCATTCTAGAGGTTCATATGTTGCTTTAAGTATGATAACCGTGTTATACGAACTTTGATATGATATACTTATACATGTGAGGGAAAAGTACTTGATCCCCTGCTGATTTTGTACGTTTGCCCACCTGACAAAAAAAATGATCAGTCTATAATTTTAATGGTAGGTTTATTTGAACAGTGAGAGACAGAATAACAACAAGAAAATCCAGAAAAAACGCGCAGGTCAAAAATGTTATAAATTGATTTGCATTTTAGGAGGGAAATAAGTATTTGACCCCCTCTCAATCAGAAAGATTTTTGGCTCCCAGGTGTCTTTTATACAGGTAACGAACTGAGATTAGGAGCACACTCTTAAAGGGAGTGCTGCTAATCTCAGTTTGTTACCTGTATAAAATACACCTGTCCACAGAAGCAATCAATCAATCAGATTCCAAACTCTCCACCATGGCCAAGACCAAAGAGCTCTCCAAGGATGTCAGGGACAAGATTGTAGACCTACGCAAGTCTGGAATGGGCTACAAGACCATTGCCAAGCAGCTTGGTGAGAAGGTGACAACAGTTTATTGCGATTATTTGCAAATGGAAGAAACACAAAAGAACTGTCGATCTTCCTCGGCCTGGGGCTCAGTGCAAGATCTCACCTCGTGGAGTTGCAATGATCATGAGAAAAGTGAGGAATCATACCAGAACTACACGGGAGGATCTTGTCCATGATCTAAAGGCAGCTGGGACCATAGTCAGCAAGAAAACAATTGGTAACACACTACGCCGTGAAGGACTGAAATCCTGCAGCGCCCTCAAGGTCCCCCTGCTCAAGAAAGCACGTATACATGCCCGTCTGAAGTTTGCCAGTGAACATCTGAATGATTCAGAGAACAACTGGGTGAAAGTAATGTGGTCAGATGAGACTAAAATGGAGTTCTTTGGCATCAACTCAACTCACCTTGTTTGGAGGAGGAGGAACGCTGCCTGTGACCCCACGAACACCATCCCCACGTCAAACATTATGCTTTGGGGGTGTTTTTCTGGACAGGACAACTTCACCGCATCAAAGGGACAATGGACGGGGCCATCGAATGTACCATGTACCATCAAATCTTGGGTGAGAACCTCCTTCCCTCAGCCAGGGCATTGAAAATGGGTCGTGGATGGGTATTCCAGCATGACAATGACCCAAAACACACGGCCAAGGAAACAAAGGAGTGGCTCACGAAGAAGCACATTAAGGTCCTGGAGTGGCCTAGCCATTCTCCAGACCTTAATCCCATAGAAAATCTGAGGAGGGAGCTGAAGGTTCGGTTGCCAAACGTCAGCCTTGAAACCTTAATGACTTGGAGAAGATCTGCAAAGAGGAGTGTGACAACATCCCTCCTGAGATGTGTAGCAAACCTGGTGGCCAACTACAAGAAACGTCTGACCTTTGTGATTGCCAATAAGGGTTTTGCCACCAAGTACTAAGTCATGTTTTGCAGAGGGGTCAAATACTTATTTCCCCATTAAAATGCAAATCAATTTATAACATTTTTGACGTTCGTTTTTCTGGATGTTTTTGTTGTTATTCTGTCTCTCACTGTTCAAGTAAATCTACCATTAAAATTATAGACTGATCATTTCTTTGTCAGTGGGCAAACGTACAAAATCAGCAGGGGATCAAATACCTTTTCCCTCACTGTATATTATAGACAGTAGTTTCTAATAAACATACTGGTTCTATTTTTTATTAAATACAGCTTATAGTAACTACTGACTGTCACGGTTCCTCCTTGAAGCAGCATGCTCGTCGCGATTGGCATGCGTGTTGTGACATTTGAACATGTGCTCTTTGTTTTTTGTTTCTGTCATTGGCTGGGGGGATGCGTGTGTTTTGTTTATGTTCGTCATGTTCCCGCCCGTGTCTGTCATAGGTTAAATCACCACGTGTGTCCGTATAGGTTCAGCTGAACACTGTTTAAAGTTAATTTATGCCGGCTTATATACTAGGCGCCTTACTACACACGGCGCGGTTAATTAAACATAGTATCACGTTAGTAGTTATATCATACACTTTCTGTCAAAGTGATGATTTATGACCCTCTGCGCTGGTAATTTATGACCCCCTGTCCTTCCCTGATTGACAGGTCGTCGGAGGGTGGTGAGGGGGTGAGGGGTAACCCTTATCGGTCGTATCAGCTAATCAATCTGGCTCCTTTTGTGTCTGGACATTGGGGAGAGGGGTGTGTGGGGGGAATAGTCCCCCTTCCAGCAAAAGGGGGGGTTTATGTTAACCGGAGTTTGGTTTTTTGGCGGGATGAAATACGTATGAAAAGAAAAAATGTTTTTAATATGAGGATATGCTTATGTTACTGTGTGGCTTTATTTCGTTTGTGTAAACACAATGTTAGAAAAGCATGATGTTTGAATGTGTA